AGTTTGCTTTTGCGTATGTCGGCATCTATGGCTGTTTGTAGGCAGCAAACGTGTATGAGACACTTGTACTGGTCACCGGTCATCTTGTGAAACAGTATTCATTCGCACTCGCGATTCACCAAGCATTAGTAGCTCACCAAATACTCGTTGTCATTCTTAGATGTCGACATCACTAGGACATCAGACGGGACAGTACAGAGGAGAGTACATAGAAAGTCAACTTGGACCGGCCAGTATACCCATTTCGCGAGCTTCGTTCCAATAAGTCACCAACGCAACCTTGTCCGTTGTCTAACGGAAAGAGCGAGGAAAATATGCACAGAAGATACGCTGTCAGATGAATTGAGCTTCATTCGAAGCATTCTCGAACAACATGGTTATCCGGACAAATTCATCCGGAGACACATGGAGACACGAGCACCAAAAGTCCAACCAATCACCGCTGAAAAACGCTTAATGTACTCATCACTGCCTTTCTAAGGTCGTGTGATAGCGGAACGAACTACTCGAAGGCTCTGCAATGCCATAGCGAGAATCCACTTTGCAGCTGACCTTCGTGTCAGCTTCACTTCTACGCCAATCATGAGTCAGCATCTCAAGGACAGATTACCGAGGTCGAATATTTCCTTCTGTGTGTACCATTTTTCTTGCTCGTGTCGGCCAAGTAATATTGTAAAGACGAGCAGGAGACTGTCTGAGAGAGTCCGAGAACATTGCCCGGCGTGGCTCTACACAGGTGTCAGAAAGACAGTATTCAGCACGGTGCTGGGACATTTGGCAGACACAAATCACCAAGTGAAGGTGCGAGAGGCCTTCCGGCCTATCTACAAGATATCTGGACGCCACACGCGAGCCCTCTAATGTCGCCTATTAGCGACAGCGGGAGCAATCGCTATTCGGCTCCATAATCCCAAATTATGTGCTCAAAAGAGTTTGTACAGGCTCTACAGCTGCAATGGCCTCAAGCTTCCCCATGTTATGACACCACTCTTGACCCTTCCACTTATGATGCCCAAGCAGTGTCGTTACTTGATCGCATTGACCGGTCACTTTACTTCATTGATTCGTTGTATTTAAATACACTGTGTTTGTTTTATTCCTATTATCTGTGGTGTAATGGCCTGATGCGAACAACCGAAAACAAGCTTGTTCGCCTGTCTTTTGATTCTTAGTCATTGTCACACACCTATAACGAAAGTTGGACAGCGATGTCTGTTCATCGAAAATTTGTGGGACGAGTGCCGCCACTTCATCAAACATGAGATCAGTGATCTTCTTTGGGAGAATAAAATTTGTAGACTTTTCCTGTGCAGCAACACTCAGCTTCCGACGCACAAAGCGAACTTTCTTTCCCGAGACGTTAACCAAATCGATCCTGACCATATCTTCGTACTTGTGGAACCAGGAAGCGAAGGTTTACTGGCATCAGGATCATACTGAAATTCACTGATTTGCTGAGTCAGTGTTTCTGGAAAGGGGAAAATTCTCTTACCGTTGAACCTGAGCTTCATTATATCGACAGCTTCTGCGTCAACATCGCAATGAACTTGTCTTGCGGCTTTTCTAATTGTATTTGCTGTTGTTGCCAAGGTGTCTGCAGTTGTTCGAAGCTGGCTGCCATTTCTTGGTTCGGTTGAAAACTTCCGTTGCCACTGTTTAATGCTGCCCTTGCCTTTGCTTCCTGTACCGCAGACGCAACCGCGGAAAACAACCTGCCAGATCGATGTGTATTAGAAGCAGAACATATTTAAGTTTACGAAGCACACGCTGTCATCTCCGGCTGCACGTTTCTGAGCTGACGCACGTAAATTGTCTAGCGGTCCGCACTGGCCAGCTGCAGTCGCACTCACTCACGATTCTTGCATGGCAACCTGGGTCATGGTGATGGACTGATTTCATCAGGTGTCTGCGTGACTTGCCGCGGGCACGTCTCGGAAGCGTGTCCCGTACTTTCGTTGCGGCCGGTTGGACTTCGACAGGAGCAGCGCGGAATCCTACCACACACTACGGTTGGTGGTTATACGCACAGAGAAAAAGGGGCGACCAACGCCTTAGGTGCTCGAGGGGTACAAGCCTCTGTCACCACACCATCAGTGTTATCCAGCACCACACACAGCAGAAACGGTGCTGGAAATGTTACTATACTTACGTACACACATCTCTCCTGGAGTGCATAACATTCACCCCAAAGCACTGCAGGTAGCAGGCACGCAGCTAGCGCAAGCATTTGCAGGATTCTTCTAGTGTAATCTAGATGAAAACAAATTCAGTCGGCGTGGAAACAAGGTATTATAACCCACATACAGTAGGGAATAGGTCGATATGATGCAGCTAATTGCCGTCCCGCAAAGCTTCTCCCTGTTTTCGCGAGACATAGAGGTGATCACACTATTGTTCATAGGAAGGCCTGGCATGTTATCCGTTTCTTCCAAACATTCTCTTCAAGCTAGCTTGGGTACTGTGTGCACCCCGCCGGATGAGCTGCGAAGATGTACTGCTGACAACCTACCTTAGTCACCTCTCGTGAATTCAGCTCCACCCGAACTATCCGAGTTTAACCGTAGTACACTGAAATTGAGTGACGCATTGCGCGCCTCAGCGTAATGGGCTAAACGTGAATTCTATGTGTTGCGATCGTTTTACAACTTGCATCAATTTTTCAGATTTTGTCCCGGGAACCCTAGTGCACATGAGAGTTAGCGCCATGCGATTCTATCTACTGCGTGTCGGTTTGTGATTTCTTTCTAGTGATTTGCATTTTTAGGAGGAGTTAACAGAGGAGATGGATGCAGATGCTTTGCATTACATGTGCCCGGTGCAGATGAACCGAGAGATTTCCCTCCCTTTGTTTTTATCGATGCTACCGTGCCCGTTAGTGTTCATTCTTGAAATAACTTGTATTATAGATTGACTGTGTCGTCAAGTTGTGGTTACTTGTAGCCTTCATCAATAGCTTCTAAAGTACTCACGTTGAAAATGACTTGTAATTCTAAGGAGTTATGACTTGCCAAAATGTAGCATAAATACATTGAGGCGTTGGGCGCGATTTGCATGACTCATCGGATTAAGGAAGAGGCTCAGAGGGGGTTATTGGGCAACAGTGTCGCTTTGGTTCGATTATAAAGGCAAAACCCTGAAATTCCTGCCAACTAGTTGTAGGCAGTATTTCACCATTTTCATAGGTCCGAGTATAAAACTGACTATTTCTATGAGCATGTATAGGGGCAAATTTGAGCGCATCAACGGCATTACTGTGAGCTTCTGCATCTAATTGTGTTTCACCAGCACAATAAGCATGAACTACCACGTAGAAGTTAGAGTAGGCATCATTTCCTGCGGGCTAGTCTAGGTCTGGTGAACATTAATGGTATTTTCATGAAAAACAACTGTGCATATTCCACTGGTGGTTTTCTCTGTTCCATCTTTGACCGCAGAATGAACTTTGCTTTTGTTGTGTTTCTGCATATAAAACGGGGACTAATCTGTCGTCTTGAGGTTGGATTAAAGTTTTGGCCATCCAAGTATGCTGAGGTAGATCTTTTCAATCGTTCGCCTGCGACAAAGGCTTGTCAGAGTAGACGAAGGCAATCATACTCTCAACAATGACAGTTTCTGTTGTTCCCCGTAATTGTTTCGGTCTAAGCCTATTCAGTACAGTAATACAGGATGAACTGAATATATCTCATCAAAATAACGAATGAGGTCACAAACATTAATTCTTATCTGTATTTCTACATGAAGCGCTAAGGTTGTTTCTACTTTGTGCATAATTTATACAGTGATTATTTAGGCAACTGGGTAGCATTCTCCAACCTACGCTTAAATAAGAATTATATGGCACAAAACTTTTGTGGTTATATTGAAACTTTTGACATAAAAAGCGATCAACGCCTGTAACATGCCTATTGCTTAGATATCTAATTAGGTAAAGTTGCTGGCCTGTGTTTGCAGTTGTCTCCGCCGGGAGTGCATTTTGAAATTTAACCAGAGGATGCAACGTCGAAAGCCTTTTTACATAGATAGATTTCATCTTAACATTCGGTCTTTTTCATTGTAGTTAACTTACAAAAGAGTTGTGACGTCGGTGTGCCAATTGCCTTTAAATTAATATTTATATCAGGTTATATATCCGAGTAATCCCACTCTTGTAATAGTATTGAAGTTTAAAGTACCTATGAGCCAACATGAAGACATTTGCATGGGGTTATCGTAAATTTGTGTATTTGATAAAGGGAAACATTGAAAAGGAAACTGATAAGGGATACTTGTAAAAATAATCAAGTATGTTCGAGCAATTCAACGTTATTCGTGTACTAGTGCAATTTAATTAGATTCAATGTTATTAGCTTATTTTTATGTGCAAAAGTATAGAAATTAGATTTATAATAGAACACTAGCATGAATTTAAGCATTTTATTTTATTTATTATAGCTAACCTCAGTCAAATGGGCATTGCGCATCGAAATCCTGTTGAACGATCGGCGTTTTCTATTTATGCATCTCCATAACTTAAGTTTGTCTAGATACATTGCAAATTTGCATCTCTTCCTAGGTCAGGAACCTACGCACTGGAGCCATAAATGATGACCACGGCTCAAATGATTTTGAGTTTCACTACGATCACTCTCAAAAACACTGTACAAACTCATCTGACCTCCATAAATTATGCGAGGAAAAACAACGAGACGCACGACTAATTGGTATAAATTATCACAGACTACCGACATAGCCTCATGTGTACGAGCACATCGTCTTTCTCTCTCTACTGCCGCCGCCATGGAGACAGATGACCGCTTTAGCAGTGTGACTTAAGTCCTATCACGGACTTGATGAAATAATACTTGTTTGATCATCCCGCATTCTACCAAATCCGTATGAACGATATTGCACACTCTGATGCCAATTCGAGCGGCCAGTATCATTTGGTGGAATAACAGTGCCGTGTCTAGTTAGAAGCTGCAGTACGCATTCAGTATGTCCATTCTTCTTCTTCTTTCCAGTACGACGTTCGCAATTCGTTACTCACAAAGCCTTGTCATACGACAGTGCATCCTCATCGGATGCTACTGGAGCGATGGAATTCGATTGCTCCGACTCCACTATGACGGCAGTCGCTGCGCCATGGTCGCAACGGAGGGTCGATATGAATGGCTTCGGTGAGTTTTTCCAGCTTATTGGCTTGGTGTTTATGCTGTTTTCCACTGGGTCCGAAGTTACAAAATCAGAAACGAACACTGTGTTTGACAGGTTCGCAGAGTAAATATGTACTTTACGCATGGCCCCAAACCAACCGTTTACTTTATAAAATCAGTGTAGCGCCGATAGCACTAGTATACGCTGCTGAGTTATCACTTGTCACTCCAGTGAATACGAAGTGTGATTTTCCTCATGAACCGGGAAAAGGTAATAGTCAAGGGGCTTCTTGAATTTACCGGATGTAGTAAGGAAACGGACTGCAACGTTAACCTATATGCGAAACTGCTACAAAAGATTGCTGCATCAGATGATGTAGTCGATAGAAGCAAATTAAGCATGAGTCAGCGTTTCCGGAATCCAAGTTTATCGGTGTCCTTGCGTCAGAGATGATTAACAGCCAAGTGTGTGTGTACTCGGCACCAATATGGTGGACGGGCACATCAAATATGCAGTTTAGAACTCCGTGGCCCATGGATGTTCACAGTTTTCTGGTTAAGCCGACTCACTTCATCAAATATACGTAACGCGCCATTGTATTATGCAAATCTTTTGGCAGGTTACACTAATGTATCATGCATTATAAATACGTAACATTGCTTAATCCAGCCGTTGGAGGCTATAGGGGGTCACGAGAACTATTCAAAACGTTTTACACGATTGACTTTGAAATAGACCTAAATGGCCTGTATCAAGTGGACCGTATGCGATACACAGATATTTCTTGGGGTTGTGTGCTTATGCTTTATTTCTCGACCAGGTAAGTTTTACTGGGAGGCTGGTGTATATGATGGATTTTAGTTAGATTGACAGATCATCCCAAGTAAGTTGACACCCAAAGCAGCACTCTTAAAAGCGCTAGCACAAAACTCATATTTATTTACGGTGTCCCCTAGCTTGCTGTTACTGCTGATCACGAAGAAAACACATGAGCGAGAGCAATGGTGCTACATCCGTGAAGCGCTATCTCTGGATGATGTTATCGATAAAACCTTGGTGAGAATTACTTCGTCACGTAACTACAGGGGCTGCGATCCCAAGTTAATAAAAGTGGTGCTACAATCCAAGGGAATAACACGAGTTTTATTAGATTACAGGCTGAAGTATCACGGCAGGTTGCCAACCGAAATCCGGCTAAAGGCGGCAGGCGCACATTCCCTAGTGGGTAGTAATTTTTCAGAAATTGCAACTGCAGCAAATGCATTGTCTACGCAGTCCCGTTGAGAGACCGACAAAACAGTACCCAAGGCACATGACCGATGCAAGCATTCGTGTACGTCCTGATCTTGAACATCCTGTGAGGCCGTACAGCCAGACTAAAATTCACGAACCAAGCAACGTAGGTCGCTTAGCAGTCAACCACCTAAGAGTCAACCTAAAACCAAACACACATTTGACATACAAAAACAACTTCCTGACATCCAAAACAGCACTCAGTTTATACACTAAAAATGAAGACTTCATTATGACTACAGACTCCTGGTTAAACATTGTGATGACAGATTCTGAGATCAGGTTGTCAAGCAACTCGCCGCTGCTGGACTTTGAAACTACATGGGGTTGTAGTGTAATTCTTTATTACAATGCTAAGTTCCGATGTGAAATTGACGTATGTACAGATATCCACTCCCTTGATTCGCTTTGTTGCCGACTATGGTTGGAGAACAAGGACATATTTCTATTAGCCTTAATTTACCGCCCGTGACTCTACGTCGGAAATGGACTAAAAATCGTATCACGTTTACAACTTTGTTGGACACGTCATACAGCCACATTCTCGTCAAGCGAGCTTTTCATACGTAATACATGGAAACGCAGAGATACGATAATCCACAGTTTAAAGCCCGCTTGAATAAGTTAATTTCCAACTACCCTCTATAGAATCACGCCACCACTCCCATTACATTTTGAATTTGGAACAGTTCGTCGATACTTGGTCTTGGGCTCACCGAAGAAGAACTTGTAGTCGGCGGAGTAGCTATAAGTACACCGTTGTGCCGTAGGGACGGTGAATAGAAGGGTGAGGCAATATATAGGAGGACACACCAAAATCAGCTATCCACGCTATTTAAGAATATAGCATCGACTTTCTTGTCTGAATATTCATGGAAGTCGTTTGCGAGAAGCTCACAAGATGATCAGCACAGCAGTAGCGTAAGCACCGGAACAGAAATCCTTCCGTAGAAAGTAGAAGCCACGATCAAACTTTGCACAATAATCTGCCTCGACGGGGATTCGAATCACGGATCCACGGATTATCGGTCCGCTGCCATACCACTGAGCTACCGTGGGCTGACGACCAGGTGCGCAATTTAATACATGACTTCTGCTTGGTTCGCAACGTATTGCCAATAAGCTCACAGTATCTGCCCTGGTGTTGTAGATTGGTTCATTCACTCGTCACTTCCCAATGAATCGAAGCATCTGTCCTCCTGATGTTCAAATGGCGATGGTAAAATTACTGGTGGTTTTTGTGAGTAGTGTAATTTTCGTTGAAAGTACGTCTCGAAACAAGCGGAAGTCATATGTTAAATTGCGCACCTGAACGTCAGCCCTCGGTATCCCAGTGGTAGAGCAGCGGACCGGTAATTCGTGGGTCCGGGGTTCGATTCCCCGTAGATGCTGATTATTGTGCAGTTTAATCGTGGCTTCTACTTTCTACGAAAATTACACTACTCACAAAAACCACCAGAAATCCTTCCATTTTAAAATCAGGAAAATTCAATTCTGAGAATCATGAGGGATTCGACATAGGGAGCTCAAAATACCTCCCGAATGCCGTAATCTGGACAGTTTACTTGACACAGCGTCAGTTCAGTGTTAACCTGATCTACGAGGATAAGGTGATACAGCATCACGAGTTAATGAAGCAATTGTGCGTGAACTGCAAACGCGTATACAGACACTTTAACGGTCATCCTAAGGTGCTGCAAGGAATTCCAACACTGATCACGGCTGATGGGTGTAGGCAGTCAGCAATGGAAGCAGCCTATCACCTACGGTTTCATTAATTCCATTCGTTCCAGCAGGTATCGAGTCCAGATAATTCCGTAGTTTCTGTTGATCGAACCTCAGTTTTACCCAACATCACCTTCACTGCAGAACATATGTGAAATTAACTCTCATCCCTGTGTACCCACGGTTCTTCTGGCATCAATGACTTTTGACCGAAGACTCTACAACCAGTGATTAAGTAGAGCCACTGGCCATTGTCTACCAGCGCTGTCTTGAGAAGAAACACAATTCCAGCACTTTCGAAGAAGGAGTTCATCAATCCTTCCCTTAAGACATGTAGTCTTATTGATTTAGCCAATTACTGTCGGATGGCGCTACTTCCTGTGCTTTCCAAGATTATGAATTGGTCATCGCAGATGCGGTGCTGCAGTAGCTGGAAAACCGTAGCTTAGAGGCCCCGGAGCAACAAGCTTTCGCCAAAAACACCCATGTACGACTAAGCCATTGATTATAGAGCAGTAGCAGGACTGAAGAAGTTGATGGTAGAGCAGGAGTCGATAACATCCACCTGGACTTCTCAAGAGCGTTTGATCACTTAGACCACGGGATCCTTCGTCATGCACTTCAGAACTACGACCTTGCGAAACAATCTTGTGTTGGACAATCAATTTTCTGCGCAAAAGTCGGTTGGAGGTGAGAGTCCTTGAATCTCTGTCCAAGGCAGTTGATGTATAGTGCGGTGTACTACATGGCTTGTTGGTAGGGGTTCGTCTATTCTTGGTTTTGGTAAACGATTTAGAGATATTTATTAGTTTCCATTCGCAGCACTTTGCTGATGACATCAAGTTATGGAGGACAATCCGAGGCACAGACGACCACGAAGAGCTTCACGCGATCTTAACACGATTTCGTTTTGGTCAGTTCAGAATTCCCTGCCATTCAAGGTCGAAAAACGTCGAGTTTCTCAACTGCGCGTGGGCATGGCTGCTGAGAGCACACAGATTACAGACCAGCTTCCAGGAAGGTGAACTTGGTGCGCTCGTACAGATTGATCACAACTGTTGAAAACAGTTTGTGGCAGCTGCAGAAGGAGGCAACCAACACTTTTGCCTTTTCTTAGGGGCATTCTGCAAATTTGACCCTTCGATCTTCCCAATGATGCAGGATGCCTACATGCGCCCCTACTTTGAATACCCTATCCATACTTAGCAATCTAGGTTAAAGCTTGAAGTAGGAGTGCTCAAGGCACAACAACGCGGGTAAAAATGTATATCGTGGGTCTACTCTCTCATTTTTACCAGCGTAGACTGAAGTTTCTGGGAGTTTTCAGTGGATGGTACCGGAGGCTGCACGGCGACCTCATGTTATTGGACGTAGTATTGACGGACCCCAACCACGTATGCCGCCATTCGCTGAAAATAAGCCACAACACCAAGCTCAGAAGTAAGTAAATGAAACTGTTTCGACAATACAGTCGTCTAGAGTATCAAAGGAATTATGTTTCTTTTCGTGTTTGCCAATCCTGGAACACACTCCGAAACTCAGTTGTCCCCTCCCTTACTTGAATATCATCAAAAAGTGATTGGATGTTAATGTTAGCTCCTAAAATAGTTACTTAAGCTACGCTGCTGTGGATTACTTTAATCATGCCTTTTTGCGAGATTTATGTGTCGTATGAAACCAAAGAAGGGATACGTGAATCAGCGACTTTAGTTTTCTTACGCTTTACGTCAAATTTCAATGTGTCCGATTTTGTTCCGCATTCAATTTTTATTACGCACTATTGTTTTTCAACGGAAAATGCAACTCGGTAACGTTTAAACAAAATATTCGTATACTATTTCCTTTTGTAGTCTTCACCACAATCATCCTGCAGGAATTGTCAAGCGGCAATCAATCATGGTCCATTGATATTAAGTGATAAACCATCAATGCCTTGAAGCCACCCATGTGTTAGGTCAATAATAATGGTGTAAGCAGCTCAGAATTCATTGTTGCAGTCTTGAAC